TAATAAAATGCCGTAATAAAAAATATGTATTTCTGTCTAAAAAAGCAAAGTTGACCTTGTCCTGACCTTGGCGACGTCATCTTAGGTCAAATAACTACTGTCATTAAATGCGACTTTTTAAGCCTTACAACTTTTATTCGAAACATTTTTCTCTAAAATGCTCCCCCGCCGAGTTTTCTTGCCGTTGCCGAACTTATGGGACACACTGTATATATATATATATATATATATTGTTTTTTAATTTAATATTTTGGAGGTTTTTCGTTAAAACTTACTTAGGAAGAAATACGACATCGTGTTAGGTTGCTAGATTGCGTTACTTGAGAAAAGAGGTCAACGAGGAAAATAACAAAATTCGCGAAAAGACAAGATGTTTTGTGTCAAGTGTGGAGAGAGGAAGACTTTCCATTTTATATAATAAACGCATAGTGTAACACCTATTGTAACACGTTTGCTCAGGTGAATCTCTATACCGCTGTTTTGTTGTAGAAAATTACAAAAGAAATCACAAAGGGTGACAAAATATAGCATCTGATTTTTCCTTGTTTCCTACATGTCTTTCCGAAGAACGTCGGCAGTCTGCCGACGATCGAAAGGCATACATGGAATGAGGATGTAGTCTCGCCGCTGTGTTTAGAGGGTCTGCGGTGTTAAGCAAGTGTTGGTTTAATGATAGTAAAAGTATCAAGCACGACGTGCGAATTCAGTTACGCTTACGCGAGTCAAGTGAAAACGAAAGTTGCGCCTGCTTGCATCGCGATGACCCCGAACAAAGTTCCGTTTTTGTCTTCAAGTATATCTCTAATGAAAATGATATCTTGTCGCGGCGGGCGGGAGAAACAGTATATATAAATAATAGCAGTATCTACGGTATTAATAGACAGTACATATATCTTATAACAAATAATCCAAGAGTAACTTAAATGTTCATCGATCCATTCAACGATAGAAATAAAATAAAATAATTAAATTAAATTAAACGAATAATTAAATTCCGATTTTTTAGTTTTAACTCTATTCTGACAAAAATGTTCAATGTATATGAACAAAGTTTAAACATAAATCTAAGTTTAAACTGCTATTGAAAAATCGGCCCTAAGTTAATCTTGTTTATTTTATTTTATTAGGAGAACCTGATTTGCATATCTTCGATTCTGATGAATTTTATACAATATTCTTACGACCATGCAAGTGGTATGCTCAAAGTGCTTTGTTGCTTGTAAGTTAGAATTCTCTTTAGAACCAATACAACGAATACAAAAAATTCTCTAGACAACTACGAATTAACGTACATTAAGATCAATCGTACGTTGATACTATTTGTGCGCAAAGTGTCTTGGAGTAAAACGTACTGGTTTCAATATAAATTCTATAGCTGACTTGTGGAATCTAAAACTATACTCAGATACACCTTCATATGTTTTTTAACAGATAAAAGGATACTTTCGCTTCTTCCAAAATTATTCACTTGTTAAAGGCTTGATACCCAGCAAAAATAAATTAGGATTTTACTCTGGCTTAGTATATCCGTTACCGCTTCGTGGTAAAGAGGGGTGTAGAATCTTCATAATAGAATTAGGAAAACAGTGGAACCCGAAAAAGGTGTCACTAAATGATATATTCAAAACTCTGGTATTATGTCAACTAGCGGCAATAATGGAACCAAAAACACAGGTCTGTAATTAAACAAGTCATTTATAGTAATAAATATTTAAAAACAATTTTAAATTTATTAATTTCACTTTTTATTTCTTTTCCTACATCAAACGACCATCGAAGGTCATTTAAAAATCAGGAGCTGTCCACAAATAAATGCATAATAAACCGCACATCATACATTTAACGTTTCTCTTCAGATCAGTGGTGGACGTACCATCTTAGACTTTAATGGTCTTTCACTGAGTCAAGTGACCTATTATAGTCCGAGTTTCGCCAAAATGGTGGTTGATTACGTACAAAAAGCTTTACCTGTCCGCATCAGATCTATTCACATTGTTAATCAGCCGATTATTTTCAATATAGTATTTGCTATGTTTAAACCGCTCTTACAGGTATGACTTTACAAAAACCTACTTTCTATAAATCTATATAAGTCTTCTATAACGATACATAGCGAATGTCATAAATATTTTGCAAACCCGTTCAATATATCACGATATACGTTAAGTATATATTATTGTACATTGCAGGAGAAGATCCGCAAACGGATACACTTCCATGGGACAGATAGAGAATCCTTAATGACTTTCATAGATAAGAGCGTGCTGCTTAAAAAATACGGCGGCGAGTTGGACGTACCTGATGAATCGTATAGCAGGGACTTATGGAAGCATTTTTGCGCCTTTGATCCTTTATTCGAAGGTAATTGTTAAAATGCTAAGCGTCGGATTTTATAGTAAATAAAAAAACATGTCGATTTTGCAATTGCGCGATTGCGACATAAATCGAATATACTAGACAGCAAAATTTTAACGATTTTTTTGTATGTTTCAGTTCTTGATAAAATAGGATACACAGATAAAAAATGATCGCTTCTCGACTGTAACCATCGTTGATAATTCTCGACTATACTCATCATCAACAATCGTACACACAAAGCAATACAAAGAAAAAAATAATGATTAAAAAAGTTCTCTGAAAGGATGCAATCTATTCACGGTTATTATGATCATAAACACGAATTTCCATCAAGTCATAGTGAAGGTAACCTGCTACAATAAAAATAAAATTTGGATTGGAATAAGGAGGAATAGAAATACATGCTGCTGTGTACTCTTAACCAAAACTAAGACATGTCAGAAGTGTTTTATCGGTGTTGTTTATTAAATATATATTAAATCGTTAATGACTACTTGTGTTTCTTGACATATGTCTATTTCTACGCCAAGATGACCATCAGATAGACGATTATTTAAGTACACAAACCATACAAATACAATAACTCCACATTATCAACGCGCAAGGAAATTCTTTAAAAAGACAGAATTTTCTCGTATTCGTCGTAAAACATCGAATTCGTAGTAAAACATCATTATAAAATATTGATGTTCTCTGCTCACAGAATTCAGGCGGAATGCGCAATACTTTTATCACACGACTCTAAAGACGAGAGAGTGTCAACAAATTTGGAATAAGATCACCGACTCTTAACGAGTCGATTCCCTAAATTGCCGCTGTAATTGATGTCAAAATTAGAAGCAGAAAAGTGCGGAAGCGACACGATTATATCTCGTAATATCACATCTCTTTATCTGACTGTACAAGTCGGGCGACAAAGGCCCTCACTTTAACTCTTCTTTATCGATAAAAATGCTTCTAAGTGTGTTTATAAAACAATTAAAAGTCTTATAAGCTACATTTAGAGAGACACCTTTATCGACAAAAGAAAGCTCAGAATAAGGGCCAAAGACGTTGTTAAGAGGACAGCCATAAAGACATATGACTTGTAATAACATATTGTGAAGGAAGTTGCAAAGTGGATAAAAGTATTGTCGAGATCGAGCGAACGAAAATGACCAATGATCGTTCTAATTGACACTAAATCAATATGTCACATCTGATAACACTTTTTGATTGTATCCCAATAGTACAAGTCCAACTATCTACATCCCCTATCCCAGCATGACGAAGAAACTATTTTTTCTTATAGCCGTACGAATTGATAGCTGCAACAGAGACGAAGTATTCGTTAATGTTCAATTATATCGAGTTATGTGACACAAGTGTTAAACGTTTCATTGAAATACGTTATATTGGAAGAGATTTCAAAACTCTATTCGAATTTCTCTTATCAATTGATTGATTGAATGAAATAGCAGTGCTTTAAGTTGTTACAATTAAGAATCATTGCTGATGTGCATATGCAGTAATCGGTTACAACAGAAGCTAAAGTGACGGTACAGCGTGTAACTTATATATAAACTAGGAGAAAATTTATATTTTAAAGCAAGAAAACCTTTATTTATTTAAGCATAATTATTATTTAAATAAGATTTATACATTTTATAAAGCAAAATAACGTGACAGTATGTTGAATGAACATCAGCAGTGACTCGCAATTGTGGCAATTGAAGCGCTCCAACTTCGTTCGATGAAAACCGTTTTGTAGCTGAATATACGATAATTTAGCTTTCTACTCACCCTCGAATTCCTTGTCGACTTGCACTAATAGGTTGTACCAGGTCGTACCATCTATTTTTGAAATCTCCAGAGTGCCGCCATAACACTCTGGCAAACACTTTGGCGAAATATATTGGTGCAGCGATTTCCGATCTGTGCCGTGGAAAATCATCTAGCGAAAAACATTGAAGAATATATGAACCGTTGACGATCTAGTTGAACCGTGAGCGATTGTCGCTTATGTTCATTAAGGTTCGTATTAATAGTCGTTATTTGAAACTTGTCTCACGTAAGATACTCAGATTTTAATTCAGAGTTAGATGTGTGTGTGTAAGTTTTTCAGTTGAATTGCAATTACAAACATAAATGTCATATATTACTAGCTCAAACTATCCGGCGTTGTCCGGATTATCATAAAGTGTTAAGGAGATGAAATTAAGAGGAGGGGATTATAGGTTTCATGATAGTTTATATTTTCCGCAGAGTTCTAGAGAATAAATATACAAAATTTGATTCAGATTAGTCAAAAAGTCAGAAGTTTAAGAACGTACAAATCATCCTATATTATATGTGTGTGTGTGTGTGTGTATATAATATATATAATTCAATTAGAATATTTGGATTTGACTTTGAATAAAAATCTGAGTATTTCACATGAAACAAGTTTCAAGTGATAATCATTAATATAGGCTATCGAGATAGTATTAATGTCATTTCACGAGGGGAAAGGAGAGAAAGTGAGAAAAAGGGAGGAAGAGAGAGAGGGAGAGAGAGAAATGACCGAAAACGCGCACACTCACTCTGCTCTTAAGTTTCTCCCGCATAAAGGGTTTGAAAAGAGCAAACACCATGTTGAACACGTATGGCTGATTCACGACATGTATGTTTTTAATTCTCAACGCCACCGCATCCTGTAACAGATCGACTATCCTCTTGGCGAACGGCGGGGTGAATTGCCACGTTTGCTGTAGACTAAGACCGTCCATATCAAAGATGAGGACCGCACCAGCTATTTGCGAGGTCGGCTCGAGCATGGCGGCCTCCAAGTATAATACACAGCCCTTGTAAACTTCGTCCAGGCTGCATTTGTTGTGCTTCCACTTCTTGCCGAGTTCGACTATCAGTATTCGCCGGCCACACTGGTCGCGTTTGGGAAGTACCGTCAGAATGTTTTGCTCGAAGATGTTTTTCTCTTTGCTTGGCTTCAAATCATTATAGATATTTGCATGCTTTAGCTTAAAACCGTAATATTGTTTGATGAGATCGCGTGTCGATTCGGGATAATACTTGCACGGCCTCAAAAATCTGATTAGCCATGGCTCGTTGTCATATGGGCATTTCAGGTCCGTTTCGGCTGTACATAATAAAGGAATTTTTTATGTACATTTCTAACGATTTTAAAATGAGAAAGAAAGGATTAAAAGAAAACTGACTTTTTTTTAACGAAAATATTGAATAAGTTACGAACAAGTTGAATAAGTTACGAACAAGGAAATCTTAAATATAATCTCGAACACCTGAAAAATTCGAGATTTCTAAAATAGCCTCTGAAAAACCCGCAAAAGGCTCTCAAAAATGCCTCATGAAAATTTCATCTCAGGCATTTCAAGAATTACGTTTTTTGCGAATGTATGTTTCCTTAAAATATATTATTACACTTTATATTGCTATTCTTTCCTTCAGATTTTGTTTTATAAAAATTGTTTCTTTCTTTATTAAACTTTTGTTTCTTGGAAAATGTCACCTTTCAATAATTCTTTCAAGCGCTCAATCGCCTCTTTTTGAACCTCAGGAGTTTCTCGAAGCTCTTTCCTGGCTACCTCTAGCATCTCCGAGCTAGCTGGTTCCAACTCAAATCGTAGAAGAAAGTTGCCGATCTTTATTGACGGCATCTCCTCGGTATCCGACAGCATGGCTGAATCTGAAAGAAAGGTAATTATGTAAATTTTAAGTTTGACGCGATATATTAGTAATATATAATATTCTAATTATAGAAAGAAAAAAGAAAATTATAGAAAATTATAGAAATCATATAGTTATATATACATATATATACATTTTTTCGCACTTTGAAACTCTGAGAAACACGATAATATTTCAGTTTTTATTTAATTCCACTTAAATATCCAAAACGTGTACTTCTGTAAAGTCGACCGATGTGTGTGGACACAGAATACATATTTTAACGCCGAGCAAATAACGGTGAAAAAGACTTTAAAAAGGATTGAGCGGCGGTATTAATCCATTGTGTAAACTGACGAAAGAGACGAGTTTGCTTGCTATGCGAGCTGTCGCTAATTAACGTATTATGAATTTGGTGAGTAATGTAGTTAAATCGACTGTTACAAGGCTGCATCTTGAGAATCTTTGATTATGTCACGTTCACGGACAATAGTTGAAAACATGACTCAGCTGCGTTATTGAGAATTGATCACCCAATGATTGCAGAATTACATTAAGTTCCTGGCGAATTTAATTATTTAATTTCGTATTCTTCCCTCATCGATTATACTACCGTCGCGATCATCTTCCGCTTATTATTCCTCCAATGTAAGGCTATCGATATATTTGGGATCATCGACAGACTTCAAACGTATGGGATTTTCTAATTAATAAAATTAGATACAGTCACGACATATTATAAGCATGTATCTAATGTAATTTCATCACTCTCGAAGAAAAAGAAATAAAATAAATTGCTATTGTTTACTCGACGATTAGGACAATTATTCCAAACGATCACACTTTGCCACCTGCCAGTAAGGAATATTTAAACACACATTTATGCCGCCGATATCTCGCGTATGTTAATGACGATTATAATTTTATCACGTATCTTCGATATGCGTCCTTGACCGCGAGCGATTCTTCCTTACTGAACAGATAGAAAACTTTAATGGAAACAGATTGCGAAAGCAACGAATATAAAAAGATAAAATAGAACAGATTTAGGAAGTTTCTATTATCATTTGCGGAGACATTTAGACTCGTACGAATAGTTGTTCCTTGAAACTTGTTCCAGGCATGAGATACTCAGATTTTTATTCAGAGTCAGATCCAAGTTTTTCAGTTAAATTACAATAAACGTGACATTTACATTTGTAGTTGCAATTCAATAGAAAATATCTCATCTAATTCTGAATTGAAATCTGAGTATCTCACTTGAGACGAGTTTCAACTAATGACTATTAATACGCACCTAAGTATTTTCAGTATTCCGCGAGTAGCGTCGCGCGATTATTTAGTCATTTTTATCAAAGACATCGTATACGCGGTGTGAATTGAAATTATTGTTGAGCATAAATCGTACGTACGTTTGTCACGAAATACTATTCTACAGTTCTGATACAAGTTAACGTATCGTTTGGTATATTTGTTCATGCAACTCGCTGGTTTTCACATTTTCCTCCTTAGTAGCATCCTTGAAAGAAAACAAACGCGATGAATCAACAACCGCAAATGCCCGATACCTTCTCCAGCTCTTGAATAACAAAGTTACAAGCACCTTGGCAAATTCATAACTTGATGATTGCGCGAGAACATTGCGGCGATCGATATACATATACACGCGAAGAGATATACATACGTTATAAGAGATATATATACGTTTGTGCGCGTAATAGCTTGTATACTTTGGTGTGCGATACTGATATTGTTGCTTCGAACGAGGTATAACTATGGTTAGTTTTTATCAGCTGCCATGTGACTTATCGTATTTTAAATAAACATGTGGCGTTTTGTTTTCGCGTTCGCGATGTGACAACGAGGAATCGAGTCAAAATTCACTGATGAATAAGTGGAAATATACAATTAAATATATGACTAATTTGAGAAAAACCTCTGAATTTTCAATTAATTTGTTCATAATTTTCGAAAAAATTATCGAAATTCAATTCTTTTGTATTTAATCGATATAGAAAACATCGAGAAATATAAATCTATGAAGATTTTGGTGATTCAATAAAATTAAAAAAAGTTATAATAAAAAAATAAGAGACATGTCTTTAAGAACAGTAACGTTTAAAAAATTGGTCTGTATAACGGTTGAAATAGATGACAACTAAACTGTAACGATTTTGTAATACTTTAAATACTGTACCTACTTTTGTTTGTTTAGTTAAATATCTTCTTAAAGATAGGATGATTAAAAATAATCTTTATAACCTACAATCAATATGTAAAAATGTAAGAAAAATAAAGTAAAATATGAAAAAAATCACACGATCATTCTTCTAGTAGCGTGCGTTAGCGTGCATTAGCGTCTATCGATACGTATATGTTTACAAACATATATCTAACATGAGCAGTCCCAGTCAAAAGTTAGTACGCCAAAGCGCGAAAAACGATTATTTCTTTATGGATTTTTAAACATTGCGTAAATTTGATTGATATTCTCTTGTTATAATTATGTCAAAAAACTCATATAAATCATGTTTATGAACATTTAGCACAGATTTGTAAAGCTTCTTCATATTGTATTAACAATTATTTAATGTAATTCTCTAGTAATATTAGAAAATAGCAATATTAGACAAATATAGTAATAGACGCGAAACAACTACCTTAAACTCGTTGGTTGAAATTATATAATGTTTACGCCTCTGGAACACAATCAACAGCAAAACAGGATGAAACGATAGCAATAGATCGGAGCTCCTGTTTTCCGTGACGCGTGACGGCACATCACGGCTCGTAAATTGGCTTCGGATGTTTTTGACCGTGTGATTACATCGCGACTTGACGGCCAAAATTACGAAAGTCCTTACGCTGCGAATCGATACACGAAACTGTAGATCGCACGAGCTATTGGCATGCGCGCGCGCGTGTTGCACAAAATGATGAATGCGTTTCACGTGGCGATTACGTGTCGAAAATAGTTATTACTTGTCGCCAGAATGTCCTACTCGCTTCTCCCACATGCGATATCAATTACGTAAAAACAGTTAATAAGAAACGGAAGGAAAGAATAACCATAAGAATTCTCTCCATTTTACGTAATTTTTTCTTCCTCTTAATTTAAAACTCATCAATTTCTCCAATTCCTTCGACTAAATCCTGTCTTGATAATTATGTAAATATCAAGATGAATTATACGCCTATAAATTATATAGATTATAGTAAGAATCTTTAATCCCATCTACATTTCATCTTAACAATTATCTTGAAGGCTGCCAAATTGAAATGCCAAGCATAAAAAATTCTTTTCATTTTACGTAATCATGTTTTCTCCTTCTTTAAATTTTTTTTGAAACTCATTAATTTCTTCAATTCGATTGAATCTTGATTTTTTGATAATTATATAAATTATATTAAGATGAATTATATGATTATGAGTTATATAGTCAATAAAAATGTTCAATTCCATTTATATTTTCGCTTGATAATTATCTTAAAGTTCGCTGAATTGAAACGTCGCTTACGTCAACATGCAGACAACACAAGTGATAACATGATGAAATGCTCACAACAAATGTAAGTCTAAAAACAAGTAAGTGTTGCGTTGAACGTCGTTTGGAAGATGATTCCTTTCACCGCTCTTTCGCAGCGGCGAAAGCATTTGGCTCTCTATTCTACTTTCAAGTCGTCATCGATTGTTGGCGTCGGCAAACAACTGGCAGTCGACCAAAACACCCCCTCACGATTGTGAAAAGCGCGTACATTTACTACGGAAGGAGCTGCTTGCGAGCAAATTGGCGATTTCCGCTGACGCTCTGACGCGCCGTTCGCGTCTCGTCACGATCTCGAGACGACTGCAACTTCCGTCCGAAATGTGCGATGAAGAAGGAATGATTTCGAAGACTTTTTACAAAAGAATATTCAATAGGCATTTAAAGATATTCAATTTGTAAATCACTTATAAGTATCACTTCGTGTACAATAGAACCTAAACGCAGCTCAAAGAAATATTTCTAGACTGACAGATTTTAGTTTCAACACACGCGGTATTAAACAAATTTCTTCATTTGATAACAGTAGATAAATTCATCTCAGTTCAATGTGTCGTTTGATTTTTATTTTATTAATATTAGGTGCACAATGGGAAAGATGTTGGAATAAAAATTACGATACGAGATTGTCTCGAGATGCGATTTCTTAATTATATTCTTCATGAATCTAATCTCTTATGAATAAAGCGTTGTCAGTGAGTCTGATATCGAGAATCGCTTTGCGGTAACAGTTCGCCGAAGAAAACGTGATAGGGTTTCGCGCTGCTTAGTTTGACCAATTCCGGGTACTGTACACGTAGGCACAATATCTCTATCAGACAAGAGCAGGAAGGAAGGCTCCGAGCTGGAGTCCAGATTTATCATTCGACGCTCACGGCTTTGCATATAACAGTTTCTCGCATGGTTGAAAGTTGTAACTCGCGTTTGATGAATTGTGCAAATATGATAGCGCATAGCGCGAAGGAAACGATTGTGTCCGTAAAATAAAGGTGCGCCGTAAATGGCACGTCAAATATTTATCGTAACGAACGACTCCGCGAAACGCGAATCATCCGGCCGCGGAAAACAAAATGCTAATTATTTCACTCAAAACAATTCATCACGAACCTTGAGGAATATAGTTTCTTAAAAGCGACTCTCTCACATCGAATCGTTGGACATAGAAATTTGTTGAATCTATTAATGTAGAACGTTCGCGGCAAGATCAATACTCATATGCTGTAAAAAACTTTGTGTCAAATTTAACACATTTTTCATACATTTTAATTTATTTATTCTAATTTTTGTGATAATTTAACACGGCAGCAAATATGTAAAAAACAACACAACTTATCTGTATGTGTATACACTTTATATATAAGATATGTCATGGAAAATTCGTATGTTTACGTAAAAATTATGTTATTTTAATAGATAAAAATAGCAAATTTATAAAATCAACGCGGAATAGTAAAAATAACACAACGGCAATATGCAAATTAACACATAGATATGTTAAAAAAATTTGACGCAAAAGTTTCTTCACAAAATACAAAATGTGTTTTATCGTGTGATAACAAAGTTCATTTTGTCCACGGTCGTATTATCTGGGATGTATTTTACATATGACGGACTCACCTTATCAGAGCTTATAGGAACTCTGTATACATAAAGAGAATTTTATAGCGAAAATTATTGTAGGACTTTGTAACCGAAGAATAGATCAATATTCTGCAATAATTCACCCTTTCTATCTTTTCATTTTATATATGCTACTTATATTTTACGAACTGAAATGTACTATTAAAACACTTGCTAGGTTTTTAAGGAAATCCTACTATTTCTAACGAAATTTACTATATTCCTTAACAAGACAGGCCTTATTGACAATTTATTCCTAGGCTACTAAAAACATAATGAAACTGGAAAGAATTGATGCGAAAAGAAACTATAATATTTTCTCCGCGTACGTAACACCGTGACCCAAAGATTGATCAATGGCAGTTTTGTACTTTGAATTGTACTTACAATGATATCGCGTTGTCTTCCGCAACTTTCACGTTAAGGGAAGGCAAATAATACGGTACATTATCCATGCTACGCCAAACACGATCTAGCCTCAGCTAAATGCCGACACGTCCCACGGTAAATCGAGACGAAGATAACAAACAATTTCCTTGATACTAAAAAGTTGAATTATTACTTTTTGTCTTCGAGTATATCATTTATAACGATTTTCTCGACGAGAAACTAGTTTTTATTTAACACATCTTATATAACAGGGCCGTATCCTTTAAGCGTATCTATGCGCGCGTCAACGGACATAAGATACTACCTATCAGTATATCAGCTTTCTGCTTAGCAAGCTGCTAGCACCCTTGTTACGCTGGTCAAGGTAAGATCAACATTAAACTAATTTGACAGTCCACAGATGAGTAAGAGGATGTGGAAAATTATCGGCTACCTCGTGTGTATCGGCGTCATTATTGTTTATTAAAGGAAAAATTCATGTTTTTTGTGAATCCTAATTTCAATGAGGTATTATGACTTGAGGCAATTCTTTAAAGAACACCGCTTAGGTGTTGTATCTGTGTCACGGCCACAGAGAAATTGCGTCACGGAATCAAAACCAGTTTTGAGTCCAGTTTACCTTTTGAAGTAGGTATCATGTGTAACAAATATAACTTCGATATATACATATATCG